GGAATGAAACATAAACAAGAGGGAGGAACGCTGGCACATTCATGCAGCAATCAACTGAAAGACTCATTAATTTTCTGCAGAAATGTTGCACGCTAATTTAGTATTGTGGAGAAAAATGCTTGTTTTTACTCTTTGTGTGTTTTTGTACTGAACTGTGTGTGTGTGTGTGTGTTTGTGTGTCCAGAAGGACCAGCTGAACCTGCAGAGTGTGGACATCTTGTCTCTGAGGGAGAGTCTGCAGGTGGAACAGCAACGGTACAGGCAGCTGTGGGATGACAGGGAGACAGTGGTGACCAGGCTCCACTGTCAAATCAGGCAGCTGCAGCAGGGCCGAGATGACTACTACACCAAGAATCAGGAGCTCCAGGTACGCACAACATGATTTCACTGATGTGGACGTCACAAATGATAGCAAACATATTCAGTACAAATACGTCTTAAACCTGAAACTGTCTCTTGTCTCCAGAGCAAGTTGCAGGAGTGTCAGAAGAGGATGGATGAACTGGAGGCGGAGCTTCAGAGGGCCAACAACAAAGTGTGCCACACCGGTCACCTCCTCAACCAGACGACCATCAAGGTAAAGACGCAGCTGAGCCAGAGGCAGATTTAACTGAATTGTAGATAATATTGTTTCATAAGTCAGTTAAAATCATATATTATTCTTTGTGCTTTACCCGAAAACATAAAGGCAATCGAAAGTGGTTTACTGAAGACGGAAGATGAACATTAAAAAATGAAATGATGGATTTAAACATTTAAAATAGGATTAGAAATGACTAAGATAAGATGCCCAACATAAAATTAAGGAGAAAAAAGCGCAGTTATAAATCGAAGGCAAAAAAAAAAAGATCTTAATTTAAAATTTGAACTTCAAGACAGTTTTCTTTTCCCTCACCTCTGTTTTGGAAATGGAAGAACTGGGAAGGACAGAACGAGCAGTGGCGAGACAGTTGGGTCAGACTTGCAAGGGGTTACAATGACACACGCCCCCCCACCAACCTTGTCACCTCTCTGTAGTCTGTCCCGGGGCTCAGTTGCCTTGGAAATGTTGTCTCTCGCCCTCTATTTTTAGGTCAGTGACGTTGGGGCTCTGGGTGTTATTCTGCCTCCTGGGGTTTTTTGAGCTGTTTCCCTCCTCTGACCCAGACTGAACTGAAATCCTGACAAACAAGGAGCCGTTGATTCAGGAAACGGGCATTTCAAATCAGACACTATCCACACAGTCGCGTAAAGATCCTAATTCATGGAATGCGGACAACATGAATACAAATTGTGGGATATTTTTTGCCGTCAGGGCAGATGAGATTGGTTTTTTTAAGATAATTGTCACAGAGCAGCTGTAACATTTCTCTTCTAAATCGACCACATAGTGAATTCTGTGATAACTCGAATTAGCTTCTTACGGTCACGTTGAAGCATTTGCACAACTCTTTTTTTTTTTTTCTTGTTGAATCTCTGATGAATTCATAGATGATTATCTGGGACTAATTCTTCTTGTGAAGTATAAGCCAGATATTTGTGGACAGGTTTTTGTAGCATAATCGCTGTTTTGCCCTCCGTCGTCATTGTTTGTCTCGTGTGTCCTTCAGCTGAGCAACAGTGAGAGCACCCAGCAGCAGATGAGCTTCCTGAACAAGCAGCTGCTGCTCCTCGGGGAGGCACATAAGCTGTCCATGCAGGAGTTACACCACAGCGGCGGCGATAATACAAAGGTACAGTGCAAGTGTGTGTGAGTCAGATTCAGTGAAATGAAAAAAGGGGACACTAATTGGGTTTGTTGGACATCAAGTCAAAACGACTGAAGCGGTTTTACCTCAGGCAGGAAGCTAGCTTTATCTGAGCTATGAGGATACACTCACATACTCAGAGGTTTGTGTTCATTTCTCATGAATAAAAAGATCAGTTATTGTCAGTGAATTGTGTGTTTTGGCAGGTTCAGGAGTTTTAAAATTGGAGACTCAGTTGATGCTGCTTTTTCTTTTAATTTAATCACCCCTCTGTATTTTTGAATGTATCGTATCCCTGATACAGTGGAGTTTGGCGTAGACTGTAGAAAACTGTAAGTGAACATGATAAAGGTCCAAGATTTATTCACTATAGAGTCACAATAAAAGTCCCCATAAAGTTCCTCATTCATCTTTTATCATCTCGTATTTATCTTCTTCCCTCCTGCTCCTCATGCTGCTGTTGACGACGACCCGTCGCCCAGGAGGCCCAGATGCTGCAGGCATCTTACCGGAAAGAGGTGGAGATGCTGAGGCAGAGTTTGCTGGTTCAGGGTCAGAAGCTGGAGGCGGCGCAACAGAGAGTCGGCGAGCTGGAGACGCACCTCTCCAAGAAGGAACACCTCATCGCCGAGCAGAAGAAGTTCCTCGAGGATGTGAAATGTCAAGCAAAGTGAGTTTGGGTCCAGGAGGCATCTGTTGTCTAATTAGATCCAACATGACATAATTGTGTTTGTATTTAAAGAGGCAGATACAAACCTCCTGTGTAAACATGCTGGAAATCATCTGTCACCTTCTTCCCGCTGCTTCATTTTAACTGCTTCTGCTTCCCTCTCCTCCTCTCCTCCTCTCCTCTCCTCCTCTCCTCGACCCGGCCTCGTCTCTCTGTGTTCAGGGCGGAGCTGCAGGCCTCAGACAGCAGACATCAGGCTCAGAGGAGAATCACTCAGCTGCTGCAGACCGAACTCCTGCAGCTCTACAGCCGAGTGGAGATGGAAGCTCCAGCCAGTACTGCTGCCAGCTCGCCACCAGGGGGCAGAGCTGACCCACACACTCTTGTTGACACCAGGTCAGACTCAGACCAAACAGCCACACAATCACAGGAACATGCACAACACATTTTTATTAATGCGGCCACTGAACATATGAACCACTATTGGCYGAATATAGAATGAATGAATATAAAATGTATGTTGTCATTAATGTACATGTCTGAAACTAAGAATCGTTACAATCGTCTATTATACAGATATATTTATTATATCTGCATCTTGCACTGTCATGTTTCTACAGCAGCAGATTCTAACATACATGCATCGACATCAACATGTTGTTTTTCGACGTCATGACTTGTGACTGTTCATCACACTACAGCTCTGAACATATTAACAGAACAATTATCTGTCTTAACACGTGGATATTTCCCGCTCCACAGTGTCCTGGTGCCAGATGGACCAACTAAAAGTCACACAAACGAGGAGGCGGCCAGTAAAACACTGCACGACTCCCCTCGGGGCAACGGCAGCACTTTATCGCCAGGGCAACCAAAGGCGAACAACTCTTCCAAGTCATCAGCCAACTCCATCAATGGCAGCCAGGACCTGGCCCCGCCCCTGCTGGTGGAGCCCTTGCTGTCCTGTCCTCACGTCAACACGCTTGCACCCCTGCCCCCCGCCGACGCGCCTCTCACTGTGGGCTCCTACCCCAGTGCCAAGAGCTTCCTGGGCATGAGGGCGCGCGAGCTGTTCCGCAACAAGAGCGAGAGCCAGTGCGACGAGGAGCAGCCGCCGCCTCCGCGCCTTGCGGGCCTTGCCCACGGTCTGAAGACTGAGCTGTGTGTGGAGCCACCCTGCCCAGATTATATTGCCCCTGTCAATCCCGCACCCTCCCCCATTCCAACTCCTCCGCCAATGCCAGCTCCTGCCACCCCGCTCACAGTGCCCACCGTGCCCACCAAGCAGCCCCCATCTGAGCCCAAGCAGCGGGCCTCCAGCCAGGAAAGCCCCCGCAGGAAGGCAGGGGCCGGCCCCGGTGTAGGGCGGGTTCAGGCAGGGTCAGGGCGCCCCCGGCAACAGCATCTAAAGATCATGGACTACAATGAAACACATCACGAGCACAGTTAAGAGACATAGAACTGAGCCGGGATGGAAAGCGGATAAGGACGGACTTAAGTTTGAAAATGGAGAAGAGCTACAAAATCAGCAAGAGTAACACGTCTGCTACTCTCCACAATTCAGTGTTATTTGATCCATTCCTCTGAGTGGACAGCAGGATTCCCCCACCGTTTCTTTTTCTTTTTATTTATACTGATTCATTCCCCTGAAGAATGTTTGCGGAGGAGACAGGAATACTGAGTTGCAATGTTACCAGTGAGGATGCTAAACTTATGAGTTTGATCATGAGACAAAGACGAACACGACGTGACACTAAGTCTGAGATTAACAATCAACCAAATTACAAACTTTTCCATATTGGCTCTAGTTGTGTCGATATGTCCATATTTTGAGAAATCTGCGTCAGTGTTCTCCCTTCGCCCCGAAACGATGGAGGTGAAACACACTTAGTTTTCTCTCGACAGTGAAACATTTAATTTGTGGCACTCTGCAGCAGTTTGTCTCGAAACAGCGTGCGTCCTAGTTACTTTGGATAATCCTCCGACCTCAGAACAGCATCCACTGTGGAAACACGTAAAACTGAAGAAATAGTTCACGTTGAGTTCTGTGAATTATCCAGACTAACGGGGACTGTTTTCAGAAACACACTTTGCTGTCATCATTTTGGGGATTTTTTTTTGTCAATGCTGTGAGGATGACAAACATAGTTCCACTCGCCTTTTGTTGTTATATTTATCGGATGCGGAACCCTCGGAGACGGTTTCTAAAAAAAAATTGGCAAATAAAACCGAAATCATCTGCTGTCGTCAATAAAACTGTAAGATTTTCAAAGTACAAACTTCGACTCAGACATGAAACATTGTTAGGTTTTCCCCGGTCATCATGTTTGGCGTTCTTTGGATTGACGACTGAAATATTTGTCTTGATTTGTGTTACAGCGGAGCGATGGAAGCAATCGGTGCGTGGAGGTGTGCGTGTGTGTGTGTGTGTGTGTGTGTGTGACTCGGGGAAACCTTGAACTGTGACGTCGTTGCTGCTGGACTGAAATTTCCATACAAAACCTTTTTTTTCCCCCAAACTCAGTCAAATGTGGTTTGTTTTGCGAGCGTGCGTGCGTGCGAGGTTGCAGGTACCGGCGTTGTGTTGATTCTCCTGTGTCGGTAAAGATGACGAAAGTGTACGAAAGGAAGGAACTGATGAAATTTTATGCATCTTTTTATGAATTCCAAATTGTGTTGTACCTTTACTTTTTATTCTGCCACCCAAGAGGTGTGCTGACCACTACATATCCTAAATTTGAAACAGACCAGAGACGTCACACAAACCCAAGCTCCAAATATAAATGTTTCCTTTGGTAAAGATGACGAGAAAACATTAAAACGGATTAACTATCAGACCTAAACTCGCTCTTTTCAAAGTCGTCTAAATCCTGTTGTCCACCGGGAGCTCCTGCTGTCATTTCCTTCTGCCTCGCTATCTAAAGCATGTTCAACAATCCACTTTAAACGCCAACCGTAGTAACAACAGCAAATCAAGACAGAAGGTACAATCAGCACAAACTGAAGAAGCCGGGACTCTGACCGGAGCCAGAGAACCTGGGACAAAACGGCAAAAAAGGAAGTTCTTAAAGCAGTGGCTTGTGTTTAACTGTGAACAATAAAGATCGTCTTCAATGTTTTGCACTACAACCCTTGAGTCTTGCTTTGTTTCTGCTGTTGAATGTCCCCCAACGTCATTATGAGCAATTAGCTTGGTTTGTTTTGGTGTGTGAACATTTTCCGATATTGTGTTGTTGGTTTATAGTCACATTGGTTGCGATGGAACAAACACATATATGAGCCCAAGAGCTAAAACAGTTATAGTTGATTCAGTTGTTTAACAAAAACCTCAAACTATTTTGTTTCCTTATTTTTAAAAAAAAATCAACTTTTTCCACTTTAAATTTTCGGATTTGCTACTTTTCTTTTAGACTGAAGGCACGACATAACAAGACATTTGAATATGTTAGGTTCAAATAGAGCTCAAGTGTTTGACATGACGAGATTTATTGAGACAAACTTTATTAAAAAGGAAAAACTTGGAAAAAAAACATGATTATAAATCCTGAACTTTTACTTAAAAAAGTATAGTTTGACTGAAACTGATGAAAAATGACCAAACTAATAAAATCAAAGCTCAAAGTCTTGACGCTTAAAACAACATTGAATGTTATACCAGTCTCCTCCATGTTTGGGTTGGGACATGGATCGAAATAAACAGTCAAAGAATTTTTTAAATCTTAAATATTTATAATTTCAGGTTTTTTTCTTATTTCTTTTTTGCTCAAGTCTTATTTGCTGCTACCAATTAAGCGGGGCGAAACGTCATGATTGACAGCTGAGACCAGACTCCTGATTGGTCGAGCGAGTGCACAGGCGGGATATTTGAGACACGGTGGCCATTTTTTATTCTCCGTCTATGTGCTGGAGCCAGGATAAGCAGTTAGCTTAGCACAACACACATCTCATGTGGAGACGAAAAGGTCACTGAAGGTAAGTCCACCAGCAAACACCTCTGAAGCCCACAGACAACAGGTTGATTACAAAAAATCAGGAGTTTAATATGTAAGTTGTGGGTTTACAGACGGTTACAGGAGCTGACTATTTCCTGGAGTATTGTCCTGGTAGGTGGATTTAAAATGAAAGTAAATGCAAACAGCCATGTGTTTCCTCAGGTGTCTCTAAACTCAGTAAGATAAGCAAATGACTGTCAAGAAGGAACGTGAACAGCGTATTTCTCAAAATGTCAAAGGTTTCTCTCCACACCAGGGGAGTTTGACACTTTTTCATAGTTCTCAGATTCAACAACATGAGATTTATCTTTTGTTGTAACTTAACTGTCCTGAAAACTGTTGAAGGTGGTTTCCACTGGAATTCATAAATATTTTTTCATGATATTTTACACAATTGATTGCTTTTATGTGTGGTGTAATATTTTGTAAATTTTAATTTGGGCTTGTCCATGTAGAATTAAGGGTTGGGGGGGGGGTCATACATGGTAATTTGAACATTGTGTATTTTTTCATGATATATTATTTAATGTGGTATTCTGTCACTTTAATTTTGACTAGTTCATCTACTTTTACAAGT